CACCGGTCCGAAAGGGCGTGAGTTCGAATCTCACCGCTGTCACTTCTTTTTGGTCTCTGATGTCATTTTTTACAAAAACTATTCTATGGATTGGTAAGTCTATCGATTAACTCGATGGATTAAATGTAGGCAGCGTGGCCGAGCGGTCTAAGGCGCCGGTTTAAGGCACCGGTCCGAAAGGGCGTGAGTTCGAATCTCACCGCTGTCACTTCTTTTTTTTCCTGTAATGTCATTCTTCAAAAAAACCTATCGAATGAACTAGCAAATCTACTGATTCACCAGGAGAATCATATGTGGGCAGCGTGGCCGAGTGGTCTAAGGCGCCGGTTTCAGGTGCTGGTCCGAAAGGGCGTGAGTTCGAATCTCACCGCTGTCACTTCTCTTTTTTGTATATGATGCAATTTTTTACAAAACCTGTCGAATGAACTAGCAAGTTCACTGATTCACCAGGAGAATCATATGTGGGCAGCGTGGCCGAGTGGTCTAAGGCGCCGGTTTTAAGCACCGATCCGAAAGGGCGTGAGTTCGAATCTCACCGCTGTCACTTCTCTTTTTTTGTATATGATGCAATTCTTTACAAAACCTGTCGAATGAACTAGCAAGTCCACTAATGCACCAGGAGAATCATATGTAGGCAGCGTGGCCGAGTGGTCTAAGGCGCCGGTTTTAGGCACCGGTCCGAAAGGGCGTGAGTTCGAATCTCACCGCTGTCATTTCTCTTTTTCTCTCTGATGTTGTCTTTCAGAGTACCTACTGGATGTAGTAGGAGAGTTCATTATGTTTCAATAATCGATGAAATACGTGCTGTGATGCAGAACAGCCGAAGGTGCTGGTGGCAAAGGTGTTTGTTCGAACATTACGGCGATTTCCTTTGTTATCGTTTTCTGACGAAGATACAAATGAATAAGCAGTGCGTCGATAATTGTAAAGAAGGAACTTTTTTGCTTCGGTACGGTTATTCAAATTTTTTTTGCTATTCTATGATAAAAGCGAGTATTATAACAGTTAGGCGCTCTAGGTCAAGTTGTGTAGTACTTTTGTTGATGCGTGGTTCTAATTGTTCTTGTGAAAAAGTAGCGTACAAATTCATGAATTTTCAAAGATGTTCGTCATATGCGACGACTGGTTGGATACTGAGTAATATTAATAGAAACTTCGAAGCAATAGCGATGAGTGAAGGTATGTTTTCTGCTGACTAAGGAACGACCTTCTAATGGTTAAAATATGCATTCGCTTTCTGAATTAACTTTGTTCATGAAGTTAGGGTAGTTTTCTCAGCAAGTGATTCTATTAATGGGCAATAGTTTTAACTACAAGAATTGTTTTAAACAAAAAAAAAGTGGAATAAGTAGGTAAAATTATTAACACTCGAGCTCGATCAAATCTTGTTTAAGATTGGATTATTCTCTTATAGATTATATTCAACCTTAGAGCGTGTCCAACATGTATAAAGATTGTGAATATGAATAATATCAATTGTCATTTTACTTCTATCAAAAAGAAGACTAACATAAAATGGATGAAAGTTTAAGGAAACAGATATTTTCGAAAGTAACACTAGTTTTTGTAAATAACTATATTCTAGATTGTCTGATGGTAAGTCATTCCACATAAAATACTCAGTAAAAACTTTAGACGATTATTAATCGTTCGTTAGACAAAGATGCTAGTATTTAAGACGAAAATTTTGATGCAAGCCAAAGAAACATCAGAAAACAAAATGTTTCATGTCAAGGCGAATCATGTTTGGACAGACAGCAAATAAAGTTGAGTAAAAATAAAATTATCGAAAATATTGACACTAATCGAACAAAGAAATAAAGCATCTGACTATAAATGTAATATTGTTGAAAGTAGATAAATTAGATCTACAATATATCATTGTCGAAGAGATATGCATCGATGAGGAAAAAATTAAAACAAAAAAAAACTTGTATTAGTTTGAAATACATTAGCAAAAACTATTTTGAATATCAATTAAATTTAATTTGGCAAAAATAAAGCTGAAGCATTTGCTATGTAATCTTCCATCATTAACTTTTGCATGCGAAAATAATCGTATATCAAACGATAGTTGGAGAAAAAAATGTTAGTTTATATGAAATAAGAAATCAAATAAAATGAAAAACCACAAATCAACTACTAATTTACCATACTGTTGATATTTGAATACATGAATTTCTTTCAATCATAATAATTATAGCAATAAAATATTTAACCAACTTTAAAAAAGACTATGATACAAGTCAACTATTGGTATATATGGTTCGAATAGATCCAGTAGCCATTCAGTCGATAGCTTCTCAAAAAAAAAGAGTGCAGCACATATTTTCAACAATCATTCATGTTAATTAAACAATAATAATTATTTGTTAATATAAATAAATTTTCTACTTGAAACCAACTAATATGCATCTTCAATGTCTTTTTTACCATAACAACTCTGTTTTCTCTTTTATTTGTTGTCGACATGTGTTTCATGAGTCATCTGATAAAAGGAAAGAGGAAAAAAGAAAATATGTTGACTTAAATAACAAAAGCAACAACATGTGTATGAATAAGAACACAAATATGAGTGACTATACGCAACTTGAATCTTTTCCAAATGAAATTTTTATTGAAATTTTTGATTATTTATCACTTCATGATCTTTATCAAGCATTTCAAGGACTTAATCAACGAATTAATGATATTCTACAATCACTGAATAATCGTGCGAGTCGACTTTGGTCGACTGATGAAAAAGCTGAAATTGATATGAATAAATTTTTTGCTTCAACTATTACTTCACTTGATATTAAAGATGAATATGATATTAATTTAAATCAATATCCTAAGATAAATTCATTAACTTATACATATGCAACTGAAAATCAACTTCAACATTTTCTTCAATCAACATTTTGTCATAATCATTTAAAATATCTTAATATTACATCAGATGATTTATCATTACTTGTTAAATATATTTTTTCACATGAATTTTTATCACTTAATCAATGTATATTACGTAATATTGATTCATTACGAACATGTCCATGGAGAATAACACCATCATCTTGTTCAATAACTATTTGTAATGATGAAAAATTGATACCATCAATACTTAAATCATGTCCTAATTTGAAACGTCTTTCATTATTTATTTTTGAATATTCTAATACGTCTTTATCTTCATTGATTAATCATTCTCATCTTAAATATCTTACTATTGAAATGACTCAACCAGCATGGACTACACAAGCTATTCAAATATTATTTTCATCAATTCAAACACCTTGTCTAATTTCATTTCGTATTGTTTCCTGTCAAGCATCGTTAATACCTTTTGATTTTATTCATTTAATTGAGATTTTTAATGAACGATTACCTAATTTACAACGATTTGAATGTGATATTCTTTTATCAAAAGGAGTAGAAACAATGGATCTGAAAACTATTCGAGAACTACATCCATTTTTATTTACCAATTTGAAATTTGAATATCAATTCAATGGAGTGTTAAGAATTTGTACAGCTAGTTTCGAAAATTCAATATAGTAGAATCAAATCATCATAAGATTATTTGTGTTTTTTTTTATCAAATAAAATTTTTATACATTTCAGATATGTGTAAATACAAATATTGTCTTACTAACAGTAGATAATTCACGTAATCAATGATACGTACTAAAGTAAATGCAAAAATTTATTAAATCAATAATATAATAGACTGACGAGGTTAAAAAGTATTCATCTCGTCAGGTATTATTTCAAAAATATCTAATTTCCTATAAGATTTTTCCATAAAATTCAATATTCTCAATAACGGCATACTTGAGAATTTCGACTTGAAACTTTGCCCACATCAAAATATCAATTATGATAAACTGTGTGTAAAAGTTCATAGTTTTTTTAATGCAATCGTTATCATATACGGCGTGAGCCGAGTCAGATCCGTGTCCAAAAGTTTCGAACCTAATGGTCCATAATCTGAAGAATGGGTAAGATAGGCTAGTCAGCGGCTACAAAAGGTCGAAAAAGTACAAAATTCTTATTTTAATACTCTACTTCTCACTTGTTTCCAATGCATTTCAATATATGAAAGTTTGTAAATATTTTGTTTAGAAATTTTTCGCTCATCGTTTAAGTCAAGTGTGAGAATACACATTATTATTTACAAACTACAAGTTTTATTTGTTTTTATTGATTAATACTTAATCAATTAAAAAAAAAATCTAATTCAACAAAGTATATCTTATTTTTTTTTGTCACGTTGTTCTGAAACAATACATCCTTTTCTATTCGGTTAGAGCAATTGTTGTATACTTGTATCATAATGATAACAAGAAATATGCTACGTACATGAAAAACTCAGGTATATTGTTATCATATGTTTGCTCATTTCTACATTATCATGAAGAAGGAGAAAATAAGAAAGTAAAGTAAAATTTGAGTACAGACCAGATTCATTTTTTTGTTTGAACTATTATATTGGTGATGTCTGCTATTTCTACTGGCAAAAATGGTCTTGTAATAAATCATAAATCATTTGTCAATCATTGTTAAAATGTTAAAAATAAAATAAAACAATTATTAACATTTCATCCTAAAGAATGGATTGGTGCGTTTCGACCAAATCCCAAATATCCCTTTTTTGTACGTGGTGATATTGATGGTTTTGTCGCGTTATTTATTGGTAATTTATCAACATTATTAGCAGTAATCTTAAGTTTACAACCCATTTTAGGAGACAATATTGTTTATGGTAAGATTCTACCTGGGTAAGTAAATAAATTGAAAAAAATATAAATAATTTATGATTGTTTAATAGAACTGGATTAGCTATGTTATGGGGTAATTTTTATTATGTTTATATGGCTTGAAAACTTGCATTTAAAGAAAAACGTGGTGACGTATGTGTTATGCCTTATGGCATTTGTACTCCAGGTGCATTTGCTTTTATTTATGTCATTATATCACCTACTTATTATGGATGTATATCTACACATGATAAAGCTTATTGCCAACAATTAGCATGGTATGTGGCTTTAGCCAGTAATTTAATTACGGGTATTGTTCTTTTGCTACTTTGTATATTTGGTGAATTCATTCGAAAGAATACTCCAAGTATAGCACTTCTAACTTCCATATCTGGCCTTGGATATGCTATTTTAGCATTGAATGAATATTTACCTGTAGCTGAAACACCAATAGTAGCTTTCATTCCATTTACAATAGTAATGCTTGGATATTTTGGTGGTGGTAAAAATAGATCGAAAAATTTAATATTATTTTGAAAAACTTAATTCTAAATTTATTTTGTAGTTACATATGGTCCTGTACCAATTGCTGTTGTTGCTCTAGCAGCAGGTACAGTTCTTGGTTGGACTACATCACTTAATCAAGGCTCACTAGTGAAAGAAGCTGCTCATCTTGTCAAATTTTATGCATCAGTTTTTCCTATTAAAGAAATGATTCAACATATGGATACTATACGTTTCTATCTTTCAACAACAATTCCAACAGCTATTGTCATTGCTATTGGAACAATACAATGTGTTGAAACAGCTAAACGAGCTGGAGATTTTTATCCTACACATGAAGCTATGTTTGTTGATGGTATTGGAACATTAATTGCTACTTGTTTTGGTTCAATTCTCAGTATGACAGGTAATTTTTAAAGAGTGATTCGTCGAAATAAATCAATTACATTCATATTTATGATATAGCTTATATTGGTCATCCAGCAACAAAAAAGATGGGTGCAAAACAAGCATATTCATTAATGAATGGTCTTAGTTATTTACCATTATGTTTTTTTGGCATTAGTGGTTTACTTATATCTATAATTGCTATTATAGCAATAAATCCAGTTGTTGTAAGTTTATTAAATATTAAAAAACCTATTTAATAATAAAAACTACGAAACTGTCAATATTTATCAATAGATTTTTATTGGTTTGGTTATATGTTCTGATACATTAGCAATTACACCTCAACGTCATTATCCTGCTTTTCTTTTTGGTATAATGCCAATCGTAGCTGATTGGGCTCGTGGTACAATTATAAGTGGTGTGTCTAATGCTTACACAAATTTTACTTTACCCAATGCTCAATTTTCATCTAATGTTAGTTCTGTCATAACTGGTTTTTCGTATCGTGGTTTGACCAACTTTGCTGGTGGTTCATTATTACAAAGTGTTTTTATTACTGCTATTCTAATGTATATGATTGATCGAAAGTTTCTAAGAGCTACAGTATGGTCTCTTATTGCAGATTTCTTTTCATTCTTTGGTTTAATTAATGCAAGTAATGTAGGTGTATTGGTAAAGAATAAAGATGATGGTTGGCGATTCTCTGTAGCATATACAATGTTAGCTGTTTTTTTCTTATTATTAGAAATAGCACAAAGAAAACATTGGATAAAGGGACAAAAAAAAAAAGCTGATGATTTGTCAAGTTTTGAAATGAACTGAATGGAAAAGAGAACAAGCATTGAAAGAATCAATAACCAACAAAAATAGAGAATTAAATGTATAATTTGTTTTTCTTTGTTCAAAATAAATATATTAAAACATGAATTGTCTCACAAACAATTTGTATTTTACTGATCTACGTACAGATCAGCTAAGACAAAATGATATTATTTTTATGAAGAACCCTGTTGGATTAGATCAACTATTTAGTGTTGAGAAACCAAGTATATCATGTTGTAGAGTAAGTTGAGGCGCATTGAATGGTATAGAATAAATCCTATTTTCCAAAGATTCTGAAGGAACTGGAATCAATTTTCTAATCGGCGACGATGCATCCAAAGTTTGAACATTAAAGTCCTTGCTACCAGTTTTCCAATTATCCTTTCTTTGATAGGAAAAAACGTGATTTTTCAATATTATATCACCGATTTTTACTATTGGTGAATTTCAATATCTTCAATAGTGTAGATCATAGAAAATATGAGCAGACACGAAATTTTCTTAAAGATTACTCGCAATATAGCACTAAAAAATTGAAAGAAAGACCCATACCCTCTCAATTTTGAATTGGTAAGCTAATCCGATAAGGTTCTTTATTACAATAATATTATTTTTTCTTTTTTTCTCAATGCTGAAGTTTGTTTTTTTTTATTGCGTTTCATTTTTAAGGCTTTATTGTATTAAATAGATAGATACATATAGTACTCGACCTCTACAATACAAACATCTTGTCGAATTAAATTAATGTTGTAGAGTTTGGATACACTATTAAAAACAAAAAAGTACCATGAGAGTTTTAAGATGAGCTGTATATGCGTAAGATTACTTCATAGGAACTAATGCAATAAAAATCTATTCCGTATTCAATTAACAGTTTTTTTTCTCCAATAGAAGGAGATGAGCCTGAAAATGATATAACCAAGATAAAGTTAATGATAAAAAGTGTTCGATAGAAAGCACATTCTTTTGGAAACTTGGTCTTATGTATATGTTGAAAACAAAATTAGGATTCGACTAGAAATATAATCTGAATAATATAATTATTCTCGTAAACTCTTGTCAAATTAAAACACTGTAGTCTATTCACCCGTATTTGTATAACCACCTCGCTTGAAATGACATTTTTATTTGAACAAAAAGGTCCCATATTTTTACATGAAGATGGTTGTGTAGTGCACTTGCCTTTACAATTGTAGATGCGACTAATTGTAGCATCTGATTCAGAATTTTTTTTATTTGATTGTAAGGTATTCATGTATATTTATACTTCTGATTGACACGATCGCTATGACTAAATATTTTGTTTTACTTCAGTCTACTTTTTGTAAAACACATTATTATATGAATTTATCTCTAATAGAATCCTAATTCTATCCCTAACATACATATATGTAACTGTTAGCTTAAAATAAGAAATGCTTCTTTTGTTCATACAAGTATTTTTCAGCCGTACAGTGATCACCATTTTTGTTGGAGTGATCAGACCATCAATTACGTTGATATATACATCAACGGAATGTATGCGGGGACGGTTGAATATGCTTATAATAATATTGTAGATAGGCTAAATTATACGAAGAATAGAGAGAAAGAAAAAATACATCGATTCAGACTTTTACATGTATCACTAGTAATACTAAAATCAATGAAGAGAAGAAAAGCAAGAAAAATCATTTCACTATACAGAAATACAATGATCCCTATGCATCAATCATTTTTTTAAAATTTTTTGTTCACTATAAAAGACTGTTTATACTTTGAACAACATGATGATTTTATTATTTCCCTTGTATTACTATCTTTCACTTTGTATGAATGTGTAAGAATTAATTATTCAGTATGAATGTTATTTTTTTAAATCATAATAAAATTCCCAAGTACGAACAAGATGGCATTAACTTATTATAAGTATAAGAAATAAGGATGTGAATATACTATCCCTATTTTTAATTTAATAAATGTTTGAGAAAGCAGTATTTATATATCGTTAGAAAGCATACTAATAGTCACATTTCTTTTATCTTTATGTAAAACTTTTAAGAACGAAAAGTTTTTAACGTTTGCTTATCGTAAGTGCCTATAGTTTATATTAAAATAACTGTAAAGAAAAAAAAATGTATATATAGAAATTTTAAATATGTACTACAAAATTTTTAGAGATTAAATGTACTTGAAGCTCATGCTAAATGCACATATCAAGTAAATTTTAAAAAAAAGATCAAATTTGACATACATTGGGATGATTATTATGAAAATAGGTGATAGCCGATATACTTTTCTTGCTGCAAGAAAAAAAGTGTATATAGGGAAAACTAATAAAAAGACATAAATTTTTATAAAATTAAAATGACTTTTTTTCTTCTTTGATAGTCCAATGAATTTTCAAAAATATCCTAATAACTCTTCACATTAAATTACAACGCAAGAATTATAAATCCTTTGTTTTCTGAAGAAAAATCAT